AACAATTACGCAATTACAGGAGGTAATTGTGCTCAGCTGGTGGTCATTAGGCTCCTCTCCAGACTATAAAAAGCTACCTGAGCACACGCCCCTCTTTGCAGAAGTCAACACAAGATTGAAAGTCGGAGGATGTTATTGTGAGCTTGGCAGGCTGGATTGCTGCCAAGCCTTATCTGTGTTTATTGCTGCCCAAGCTTGTCTGTGCTGGGTTGCTGCCAAGGACCTGCTTGTCTGTTAATTAAATGCTGTAATTTATCTCTGGCTCGGAGTGGGCTTTGGTGTGGAACGAGGGGGGTCGGAACAGGTTTCTATATAAGGACCAAGAGGAAAGTCAAGGAAATGGTCAGCCCACTAGCTGGAAAAAAGGGCAAGAAGGTGACAGGAGAAGATGAAAAGTGTTCAATTCCTTTTTTACATCTGTGCATTTATGCAAAAGGAAAGAAATAGCCCAACCTGTCAAAAGCAGCACATTGGGAGACAAAAGGAGAATGCAGGTCAAAATAGGAATTGCCTCACTGAGTTTTAGGTTTCCTGGCCAGAGTCTGGTTTATACCCCAGGGTGCGGAGGGAATTGGCAGATGTGGTCTCAGAATCCATGAATGAAACCTTTGAGAGCTCCTGGAGCACAGCAGAACTGCCAAAGCACCGGAAGAGAACTGGCGTGGTTCCAGTCTACAAAAGGGGGGTGGGGGTGGGGGGGAATGGATCCAGGAAATTATACTTGACATCCACTTGACATCAATACCTGGGAAGAATCCTGGGAAAGATAACCAAGTGGAGGATTTGTGAGCATCTAGAAATGAACAAGGTGATTACTAGAAACCAGCATGTGCTTGTTAAGAACAGGTCAGGCCAAACAAATGTAATTGCCTCCTTTATAAAGTGACTAAATGAATGGAAATTCTGTGGATGCAGTAGGGCATTTGATAAAGTAAACTATACCCTACATCATCCAGGTGCCCTGGTGTTCCACCACTTAAATATGAACCAGCAATGTGGTGCAGCTGGCAAAAAGACCAACCAAGCCTTGGGCAGCATCAACCAAGGGATAACAGCAGCAGCCAAAAAAGCATTGGCTCTTTGGCTGCTGCCGCACAATTCTGGCTCATATCCATTTTCTACTAGGATCCCAAGATCCCTCTCAGAGTTACTCCTATTGGGCCAGGTGCCGCCTGCAATAGTATATCTCTGCATTTGGGTTTGGGTTTTTTCTTTGCTTAGAACCTTACTTTTCTCACCACTGCATTTCATTTTGTCAGATAGCGCTTCTAGTGTTCTAGTCTGTCACGTTCCTCCTGTAGCTTAAGCCTTAAGTCTTCAGGGCTGTTGGCTACTCCTGTCACCTCCCTCCCTCCCATTCCCATCTCCCCCCTCCCTCCCTCCGCCCGTCCCTCCCCCCTTACTCTCTCTCTCTCTCTCCTTTCCAGTTGATCTTGGAATGGAAGGCCAGTAGCCAAGCTGAGAAGCAGCCCCTCCAGGGAGATGCTCTTCCATCTGGTTCCACAGATGCCACCGGTTCCCCTCTCAGGGCCCACTGTCCGATGAAGGGTGGGACCCAGCTTCTTCCATCCCATGGGTCCCCACCACCTTTTGTGGCAGCTTCCCAGCGGAGAGCAAATGAGCCAAGAAATCCTTGCCCAAAGCCAAAGTTCAGCTCCACCGTCTGCAGTCCCACTGTTAATGCAGCTGCCCAAAGTAAGTGCCTTCTCCTTGCCAATGTTTTTCCATGGATAGGCTAGTTACGTTCCATGATGTCCCGAAGGTGCTTTTTCAAAAGGGACTTTTTTCCCCTTGAAGATGTTTCACTTCTCATCCAAGAAACTTCTTCGGTTCTGACTAAATGGTGGAGAATGGAAGAATTTATACCCTCCCTTGCAGTCATCTGGCTGTTCTGAGAGTCATTGAGGCCACTTTGAGAGTCACCTGAACAGGGCAAGTGGGTACGGGACCTTTTCAGGACTGCTGGAAGGACCGTGTTGTAAACGGGGGAGAGGTTGTACCCCCCCCCCCCTCTGTGTTGATAGAGGGCTGTTCAGTTTTAATGTAGATGGCCTCTTTGACCCTCCTTTCAAACTAGTGGTCCTCTCTGTCCTGAACGTGGAACTTTGCTGTCTTCAAAAAAGTGACCTCTGACTTTAAGATGCAGAGGGACTGCTGGATCTTGTCCCGATGGCTTTGTAACCACAGTGGAGGTGCAGGTGAACTCGTGGTGCAGCCGTCTTTCTGCCTGTAGAAACCTTCACTGTATTTAAAATAGATGGTGGTCGGGCAGAGGTCCAGCATGGCACACATGTGCTCTGGGCTGAGGTTGGTTCTGTGAGGGGTCCGCAGATAATGTCTCAGCCATCCTTGATTTAAGAATTTCAATTCAGGTAGTCCTCGCTTAACAATTCCAATTGTTAGATCAAGGAGGTACACCAGCCTTTATGGGCCACTCCGAGCAATTCCCTTCAAGAAATGTGCAAAGGCAGGACAAAGGCTGCTGGGCAGTTCCACGTTGCCGACCACTTTGCAAGTGTTCCAGGAACTGCCCCCGTGGTCGCTGGGGACCTTGGAGCCTCAGGAGGTCTATTCCTGCCTGTGATTTGCCCATCTCTTTCTTTTTCATTCCAAAGATTTCCTGCCTGCTGGCAACGTGGCAATGGGTCAGCCTCCCTCCCACCTTCGGCAGTACCGGAGAGCAGCGGGCACCTCCGCTCTTTGGGACGTGAGTCGCTCTGCCTTTTGCTTTCGCTGATCTAGGCCTTCTAGGATTGCACTAGGATTCCACCAGGAGGACCACAGGAGTTCCCGGGCCTTGCAGAGGTCCTTTCCAGTTGCCATGCCGTCTCCCTGGGGATTGCTTCACCCAAGGAGACCCCCCTGGCTCCCTCTGCCAGGTTTTCCTCCTGTTGATCAAGCGTTCTCAGTTCGTAGGAAATGTTCGGAGGGGCTTCCAAGAAGGGGGCCCAGTGCTTCCTACATGTTGCAGCCTGGATGGGCCTCCCCTGCATAGCCACTCAAACATCTGTGTAGCCCTCTGTCCTCCCTTCCTCTTGCACATTGTCCCCTGGGAAGCAGAAAGGAGGAGCTCTACCTCACAAAACGACTACTCAGGCGATGTCCAAGGGGCCATGCAGATAAAAGCCATTGGCACCCCAACCTCACGGGGTCTTCTTGAAGGAGTCCCCCAGCTCTTAGCCCACCTGAGTGCGAAAGAAGCCCCGCGTGCTGACGATCAGCCTTCAGGTGTTCCTGCCTTTGGACGGGCTGCCTAGCAAAGCAAAGGATGCTCTTTGTCTGCCCCTCCGTCTGGTGGGGCTGCCTTGGGTTTCCTTTGACCTGGGTGCTGCGGGGGGAGTTGTGTGAGGCCAGGCCAGTGGGAGTCACGCACCGATGCCGGGAGTGGGTGAATCTAGGAGTCCCGCTCGAGCTCCATCTCTCTGTCATCTGCCTCAGCAGGTGCCGAAGGGGCCGGGGGCGACAAGCCAGACCGCATCCCCCTTCAAGCCTCTTTCCTTGCTCAGCCAGGCTCAGGAAGCAGCCCTCAACCAGCATCTGACGAGGAAGGGGGCCGTTCCCAGCAGGGTTGCCATGGGGCTGGTGAGTGAAACTGTCCTGACCCTCAGTCTTGGGCTTGGCTGCCTTCCAGCTGGAGGCCTCCTCTGAGACGGCCCAGGGTCACTTTTCCTGGTCAGAGAACGCCACGGGTGGCCTTGGGAGGGGCAGTGGTTGCGTGGGATCAGTGGGGGAGGAGTGCTACGCTCCCCCTTGAGCCTCTTCCAATTGTCCATCTTTTAGGAGCCTCCCCCAATTCGGCCCTTTGATTTAGCCCCAACTCCCCCCCTCTTTGCTCTTGGCAAATTCACAGGTCCACCCGGAATCCCGTGGCAGGGAAGCTCATTTCTTTCTGAAGCCATGCAAGAAAATGTTCCAGGTTACAGCAAACGTCGGGATAGCTGGCGACCCCAAGGCCCACCTGGGCAGCTACTCCCAGTCCTATGGGACCATCTGCAAGTCTGCCCTCCAGAATCTGCCTGTCTCTGGTGCTTCTCGCCCAGTGCTTGCCCCCAGTCCCCAGCAGCTCTGAGCGTGGCCTCTGGTCACCTGCAGCAGGGGAGGCAGGCAGGCAGGCAGGCCTCCTCCTCCTCCTCCTCCTGCCTCCCTCCAGTCAGCCGCGTCTGTCTTTGATCCGATATGACCCCAAAGCCCTGGGATCCACCAAGAGAGAAGGAAGTGAGCCGCTGCCTGGTTGCAGCCGTGACAGGTTTTTCAAAAGACCCAGGCTGTCCAACCTGTCTGTTGATCTCACGATCAAATAAAGCCTCCCCCTCCCCCAAAAAAGCTTCTGAAATAAAAGCCTTTTCTACATGGGTTAAAATTGCCTGTTTTCTATTCAGGGTAGGCTGGGCTTTGAACCACGGGGACTGGGTTGGCTTTCTCCAGGGTCGTCTGCTCTCTGCTTCCAAGGACCTTTTCTGAAGAGCCCTGCTGTGTTTTCCCGGCTCCCGTTCCCATCTGACCCCGCAGGAGCCCCTCCGGAAGGCCCATCGGAGGCTGGGAGAGGGATCCCAGAGCATGTGGGAGGGGGGATAATTTAGCCAGGGATGCCTTTGTGTGTCCCCTTCCTCAATAATGCCTCTACTGCCCCCCCCCCCCGGCACCTGCATGGGAATCAACACCAGGCTTGATGGAAAGGAGGGATGCTGACCATCTCAGGGTGCGGCCCTCTGCCAGTAGGACACCTTTCCGGAATGGGACCCAACTTAATCCATGGGCAGAAGTTTGGAAAATGGGTTGCAGAGATGTGGTACATCTCCCAATTTATGCCTGTGGGGCTGCTGCTCCCCCCTTCTTTCCTGGACCTGCAACCGGCCCTTCGTCCCCAGGGTCTGGGGACTTTTCATAAAAAGGCTGGGGAAGGGTTTGGAAGCCGAGCCAGGGGTGCCTGTTCCCCTACCTTGATCTAGAGAACCCTACAGTGGGAAGGGGCCATGTAGGCCCAAGACCAGTGCCCTCTTCTGCCTGGGAACGGGTGGAGGCCATTTAAGCCCATGCAGCACAGGGGAGGGTTTCTCTGGGCCATTGGCTCCAGTCCTCACTTGCTACAGTCATCTTTCCTAATGGCTGTCTGGCTGTGGGCAAGTGGCCTTGGGGAGTCTTTTTCGGGCCCAAAGGCCACTGAGAGGTTCTTTCATGGCAGGATAGGCCACTGTCTGCTCTCCAGCAGTGCCTGGCCTTGGCTCTCCTGTCACCTGTGCAGTCAGCTGAGAGGCCACAGTGCACTCCATCAGGGGGATGGGATTGGGGGGGGGGGGTACTGTGCTGCTGGCAAGGGGGAGAAAGGATTCCAGATGGTCCTGGCCCAGGAGAGCTGGAAATCAGGTGTCCAAGGGGGAGGACAAGGGGACAAACATGCCCCACCTTCCTACAGACTGGGCGTGCTTAGCCTAAAGAAGCGAAGAGACGCTCTTCCAACACTTGGACGTTGGGGAGGTTGCTCCTGAGGGCGGGAGGAGGCTTACAGAGGGAGATCCAAACTCAGAATGAGGAATTTCTGGCCCAGCTTCCTGAAGGTCGGAATGGGGCAACTCGCAGGCATCTCACCCCTGCCGACTTGCCATGGGACAATTCAATTCAGGTTAACTGAAGAGAGGGACAAGTGAATGGTGCAATCCATGCTCTGGCTCACCCCAACCTTGAGGACTTCTAACTTGAGAAGCGATAGCAATAGACTTATATGCCGCTCCACAGTTCTTTGCAGCACTGTTTAAGTGATGAGTCAACCTTGAGCTGGTCAAGATCAGGCCCCTGGCCGTGGGGGTCAGCCTGCAGGAGGGGCATTCTGGCCACCAGGGCTCTTCGTAGTGGTGAGAATGTTCAAAGCTAAAGCGAGCTGAGATGAGGCTGCAATTCATTGTCCCGCTCTTGACTTATCCGGCTTTGAATTGTGCCACGGTGAGTTGTCCTAAACCCGCTGGAGATGATGGAGGTGCTTCATCGTCCGTGTCTCAGGGCTCTTGGAAACTTGGTGGTCCATTTCTATAATATGCGCAAATGCAGGAAAGACGCAATTTACTTCGGAGAAGCTGGACCTGTCAGTGGGCCTGGCATCTAATCCGAATCTTAAAACTTGCACAATGGGTCAATGGGCCATCCCATATTTATCTGTGGCATTTGCTAAATCTCTCCCAAGTGTAGCCCCAAATGATGGACGTTTTAAAAATAACATTTATTTTAACATTGGCTTCTGCGGCCTCTCTCACTGGGCAATTTGTCAGGGAAACATGCAATAAAACCAAGGACAAATACAACCCCAGAACATTTAGAATAAACATCCATAAATAACTACGTTGCCGCCACCCCTGAAGGTAAGAGTGGCCCCGCCTGTGGGTGGCAGCTCAGCCTCACTAGAATGAGCATCACAGGTGCTGCTTTCCACAAAGAGCCGTCTGGATCTTCGTCTGGGAAAGAAACGGAAGCCAAAGGCCGCCCACGGGCGGCTGTCCCCGGCTGCAGGGGCCAGGAGAGGGAGCCCACCTGCCCAGGTGGTGTGACATTCAAGCACTGAGTGTGGGAATGGGAGGCGCGGCCATCCTTTCTGGCTCACAGCTGCATGGAAGCGGCCCGGATCCCTGCACAATCAGCAGGCTGTCCCCTGGAGTGGGAAAGGAGGCAAGCTTGACCTTGGCTGGTGGATTGCAACGAAAGCTGGTGCCGGCAGGGATGAGCTGGCGAGAGCAACGATGCTGCTGCAGCCAGGAGCGCCTGCGTGCGAGGTCTTGCCTGCACTGGTGCTCCTGGAAAAGTCGCTGCTGCTGCTCCCGCAAGTGGCTCAGAAAAGCCTTGAGCATTTGGGCTTGCTTAATGAGGCTCAGAAGCTCGGTCTGCAGACTCCAGTTGTCGGCTTTCACTTGCTTGGTGTGCTGGATTAGGCTGCGTACTGCTGCCTCTTCTGCCAGCTTGGCCAGAATTTGGAGCTTCTGCTCAGCGTTCACTTCATATTCGGCTGCCTGGTGAAGGAACCGGCTCTTGACTCTGTGCATCTGATCGGCATGCTGTATTTTGGTGATCAGCAGCTCCTTCTCCAGCTCCCGTATCTGGGTCAGATGCCGAAGCTGCAAATCCTGCCAGGGCTGCAGCTCAGCCACTTCCCTGTTCAGGAGGAAGAGCTTGTTTTCCAGCTCAATGAGCTGGCGCCTCACCTCCTTCTCTCTCTCCGTGTACTGAGCAGCCACCTCTGCTTTCTGCTTCTGGATCTGAGAGAGGTCAAACCGGTTCTGGTCATTCAGGGAAATGATGGCATTCTGACAACGGACGGTTCTCCGGGTTAAGTAAGAGAGGTAGACCTTGCTGGCCTCCCGGACCTGCTGGGCTTCCTTGTCTAAGTACTCGTTTTCCGACTGGAAGTGCCGCAGCCGCTGAGAGTAGGTTATGATGTGTTCAGAGAGGATGTCAAGTTCCTTCTGCAAACGCTCCTCCTTCTCACTCACAAAAGGTGCAGCGCTTGAAGGGCCCACAGCCCCATCCTTGCCTTTGCCCCTCTTCCCTTTGGGCTTCTTCTTTGGGGCCATCTTGCTTAGGCCAAAGGGTTGGATTTCAGGTGCTGCTGAAACAGAGAATGGCAAACGGTCACATCCCAGACCACGTCTACAGATTCACAGGCTGTTAGTAATGACGTTTTAAGGCACCCAGAGCCCCCTGGAGCGAGTGGTTCCTCTCATGGGATGAGGAGGGTTGAGTCGCCTGAGGGTCAGTCTGGCCTCACCAAATTATGGAGAGAAGCAAAAGCCTTCTGCTTTGCATCAAAACCGGCAAACTCACACAAGCTCCCCAACAACTTCTCTGAACCTAATTTCTATGAATTGTTCTTAAAACGCGGCATTCAGGACTGAACACAGTACTGAAGTTATTTAATTCAGAACAGAATTATTTGGAACAAGCTTTTTCCGCATGGAAAACTCCATGGTTTCTCTAGAGTCACTTTGCTTGAATGGGGTGGCATTGTAAGTCTAATAAATATATGCATTTGCACTTTACACTTCTGTTGACGAGGCCTAAAGTTGTTTTTTTCATTGTTCCATAGCCATGTGTTACTGCTGGCTCATATTCAGTTCACTGTTCCAAAATGTTTTTCACAAGTGCCAAGCCAGGTAACTCCCATCCTATATCCAGGCATTTGATTTCTCTTTCAGATGAAGAATTCTGCATTTATTCTGAAGCTTTCAACTTTCTCTAACCTAGCAAGATGAATCGTGACTCTTTCGCTCCTGTAATAATAATTACTTCACCTGTTTCTTTGTCCTCTGAACCAGTGGTGGGTTGCCAATTTTTTTACTACCGGTTCGGGCACACCTGCGCTTGCGTGCAAGGCTTCTGCGCAGAAGCGTCCAGGCAGGTGGGTGGAGCCTCCCGCCCCCACTACTACTGGTTCGCTCGATCCGGATCGAACTGGGAGCAACCTACCTCCTCTCTGAACAACATGACAAGCAATGGCTGTAAGTTCAACAGCAACATGCTTCAGTAGCCACAGCTGAGCAAGATTTCTTTCAGGCTCACTTGTGGGATTTGCTCATAAATCAAAGGTTTAGGAAAGCCCCTTTCTGAGAAAAAAGGTTACTCCGAAACAAGGTAATCCTTTAATAATAATAATAATAATACCTCAAACGTCATCACATAAATCAATGCTGAAAGTACTGTACCTCTCCACCAGTTGGTTTGATCCCAAGATAAGTAAAGGAAATGTGATAAGGAATCAGCTCCTTTCATTTTTCCAGACATGTGCTGAATAACAAGATCATAATGTTGCACTCTCCAACTGAGATGGCAAAATGTGCCTTTAGCTGAATGAAGCATGAACATGTTTGTGATTTGTGATCTTTGAACAACACAAATGAATTAGAATGAATTTAGAATTTCCCATAATTTCAGGTTTTTCCAGAGAAGAATGTGAATGATTGGCATTCACAACAAGCAACATTGATCTACCTGAGTCTGTGGTACCCGGTCCCACAGGACTGGCATCAGTCACCAAAAAGTTGGGACATAAGTCAGGCAGGGTTCCTTAGTTAACACAGCCTTTGGTTGCTGAAATGCAGAGTCAGTTCCTGCAGACCA